AATAATAATAATAACAACAATAATAATAATAATAATAATAATAATAATCATATTAATAATAATTTCATGATACGATGGGAACAAATGAAACGATTCATTTCGATGACTCCACCATGCATCGAGTTCTTTTGGTCCTGTTTCATTGGTTATGGATTTATTCAAAGACCAATCAGAAATAACGTAGCAAAAATCTTAAGGCAGAGCTTTCAAAATGGCTGCCACCACAACATTTTAGTATTTCACAACAGTTTCACTTTCGAATCGATTGCGAACACGTTTTCTGTCACTCTCCTTTTCTTGTATTTCATTGTGTTTGGTCCTTCACTAGCTCTTGTTGAGGAGTAGCGGAATCGAGGACGATGCCGAGAAAATGTGGAAGCTGCGGTGTTAAAAATGCCATTTTAAAGAGGCCGAAAACGGTAAGTTTGTTGTTGATCATGCGAGAGTGAGGAGAGTGAGAGAAGTTTTCATGACAAAAAACAAAAAAATAATAGATTCTAGATCTAGACTAGATTATAGATCTAGATATAGATCTAGATCTAGATTTTTGGGCTGGATTGTACTTTACCGGACCACCCATCTCGGCCCGTGATTACTACGCACGCCTAGCCTAACTACACACTCATCATAGTACTTTGCGTGCGGACAAAAGGTAGTTTCGCGGGCAACTTCGCGCACGCACAGCGCAAGCCAGCGGCGACTGGCGAGGCGAGGTGAGCGAGAGGTGGGGGTAAGATTGTACTTTACCGGACCACCAGTCGCAACTACTTTTGCTATGGCGCCCCTGGTGCCTAGTGGTCCGCTATTCTTCGTTTCCGAGCTCCCCTGCTCACTCTCCTACTCAGTTTTCTACGTCCTCACTGTTCCACTGCCAGCACTCGACTGTCGTCTCTTACCGGGTTTTTCAGTCATCACGACCGTGCCACTGTGCCCTTTGACCCTCGACCCTGACGCCTTGAGGCTAATTGGTCAATCTAATCACGTGGTCCACTATTCTTATTTGCTCACGACTCTGCTGGCTTGGCCTACTCCTGGTCTGGCAAAGTACAATGGAGGGCTAGAGATGCGCACGAGAGCTCATTTGCATAATTGCATCCCCCTCGGCCCTGCTCGCGACTTGGCGAGTATCTACCCCAGATTGTCCGTTCATGCTATTATAATGTGTGTGTGTGTGTCTTTAAATTATTGTTGCCAGGGGGGCTAGCCCCCCTGAAACCCCCCCTCCCCCCACTGTTGTTACATTGATGTAAACACGACTGTCCGCTCATGTTATTGTTTCACATTTTTGTATTTCCTTTATTGTAGTTTCACGGGGGCAAGCCCCCCTAAACACCCCCCTCCCCACTGTTGGTATGATACACGGTGGTCCACCAAAGTTAAATCCCCTGCCCACCCTCAACACCCACCTCGGCTGGATTGAACTTTGGTGGACCCACGGTGTTTAGGTCTACGTATTATTAATGCACACTAGAATCTTCTAGTGTTAAACTACAGTACATTGGGGGGGG